TGAGACCTACACATTCACCAATATGTAACCAGGTTAGAGAATTCTAAAACAAGTTGATTATTTTATCTTCGTACTGCTGTCCCACAGCAAACTGGAAGTATTCCAGAATAACCCAGTAAATGTAGGAATTTACCTGTGAGACACATAAACAGAAAACACAACTCTTGCTGTTCTGCAAAATGCTGGAATGGCTGATAGACCAGGCTAGCTCTGTTCAAAGTAATTATAAGCTTATTCAAACCCTGTATGTTTCCATCAGATGCATTGGAACAATTTGTTTCTTTACCTACACATATTCCCTCAAGCTAAATCAACAGTTCCTGGCATTCTCCTCCCATTATTTTAGGCAGAGGGAGGCATGGAGGACATGCTCCATGAGATAAAGAACAAAAAGACTTAACCAAACGAAGGAGAATTCATTAAAAATGACAAAGTGTTTATTATTGAAACTTGTTATCTACAGTTCTATCAGAGAGAATCAATTTCAAACAGCATTAAACTGTCTCTAAGGCTGAAGTTAGAATTTTCTGTTGATTTCTATTCTGTGCAATACAGCTGAGCACCACAAGATGAAATATTTACATCTATACAAATAGAAGAATAAATACAGATGTTTTTCTAGAAGTTCTCCACAGGCCCATCTTATTTTGACCAGCCTCTACCTTAAGAGAACAAGCCAAGCCAGAAGGCCTAAGTTTACAGTGATTACATGAATTTGAGTATTTGGTACATCTTTCAAAAAGACATCTTTCAGAAATGCCTAAAAAACAGGCAACTTCAGAGGCGTCGCAGTTTGGCTCCCAAAATCTGGTGCTTACTAGAACATTAAGCACTACCCATTAAAAAATGAGAGGGTGAGAAAAACTTCACTGGTCAGAAATAGATTATGTGTAAATATAACTGCATCAGCTCTAGCAGCTTTATCTAGTGTTCTTCTAGAAACAGCTGTGAACCAAACAACAGCAGAAAAGCTACACAAAACACTGGACCCAAATAACCTGCTCAGCCACGTCTTACTCAGGGCTTGCACTATCCTCTTTAATACAGAGATGATTAGTAGGAACCTTTGTATAATTCCTGCTACAGAACACCTGAGACTACCAGCTGTGGAATCCACACCATTCCATACCTCCATCTGTCCCTTTTCTGTTGTGACTTGACAGTAAGGAAGCTGAAAGGACAATATTACTACAGCAGGTCGTGGCAGCGTGGGAGGGAATCGAGCTCCTTTACAAGGAATACACCTGTGCACAGGAAACAAAACACAACTACAGTCAGTCACCAGTTGTTCCACATGTAAATCACATCTTCCTAAGAAGGAAGATGCTTTAAGAGGATTTGTTCATTTAAAAGTAGTAATTGAATGACTGGCTTAAATATAGCAATATGTAAGATTGCATTGTAAAGGGTTATTTTTACATAGCAACCAAGGAATTATAGAATCATAGAATTATAGAATTTAAGGGTTGGAATGGACCTTAAAGATCATTTAGTCCCAACCCTCTGCCATGGGCAGGGACACCTCCTCACTAGATCAGGTTGCTCAAGGCTTCATACAACCTGGTCTTGAACACTGCCAGGGCTGGGGCAGCCACCACGTCCCTGGGCAACCTGTGCCAGTGTCTCACCACTCTTACAGTAAAAAACATTTTTCTCACATCCAACCTAGA